AAGCACGGTAGCTTCCAGTTGGCTACGAATGAAAAAAAAAAAAAAAAAAAAAAAATTATCAACTGAGACATGAACCTTTAGATACAATAAATCGTTGTGGCAGTAGCAAAGTTGATTGGCAACAGTCGATTCTTTCTGGCTTACTTCCGGATCGATCAAGAATTTCTGGACCGAGCTGTGAGCTCGTTGCACTCATCTCACGAACAACGCAGTGTACCGGATTGTGTTCAGAAACTCCATCAGTCTTCAAATTGTGACGAAACCTTCTCTGTTCAGGTTCAGACAGGATTAGTGCACTAGTCCTGAAAAATGGCATAAATAAACAAGAAATATGTTTGAAAAAAAAAAAAATTCCGTGATTAAAGATACGAAACAAATGTAAAATTGACTGCACAGAAATGCCAGATAAAAAGCAAGTTGAGGAAATTCCAGTCACTGAATGTGGGCGACTCGCCCTGGTACCACAGATGAGACTAGCCAGCACAGAGGCTACAGTAAAAGTATTTTGAAAGTTCAGAGAGAAGAAAATTTGATAAAAAACGTTTTCCTCCTGTCTTACAAATTCGCTCGGTAAAAAAATGTATCCAAAAATCCCGAGAATCAAACTTCACCCACCACAGGAACACCCAAATTCAACCGCACTACCCAACAACACCCACAGAACAGCAACCACAGCGTCTACCCGCGCCGCTTTCTACCGAGTTGGCGGCAAAAAGAATCCCGTAAAATGCGGCCCGGCCATGGGGCTGTCGGTACCCATGCGCTCCCAGGGTGCGCAGGAGTTTACGCCGAACAGTCGGTGCCGTGCTAACTCGAAAACTAGCCGGAAAACAGTGACGCAATTTCGACAGGCCAGTCGAGCGTAAATTGGCACTTCGCATGTGAGTACCAGAGTGTGTGGGTGCGCCGTAGCCGCCTGTCTTGCAACAGATGCATAACGACTGTAATTTCCACTCGATACGGCAACTACTAAAACTCGGCTCGGCTCGGCCGGTGCGTTTTGCGCCCCAATGAGGCGTATGCCATCTCTGGCAACACTATTTCGTATCGCCAGAAGGAGAATCTCCTTGACACGTGTCAAGGGAATGGGGCAATGTTGCCCGTGCAGGAAGTGGAGGATGGTGGTGTGCTGGTGGCTTGGTGCGCAGTTTGCGCGCTTATACTGAGCTGATGGCTTGGTGCGCAGTGTTCGTGCTTTTCATGCAAGGAACGGGCCCCGTATGCAAGAAAGCGGTTTTTGCAGACTTCCCCTGATTTTTTGTTTTGTAGTCCGGAAGAAGGATAAGAAGACCAGGAATTGAAGGCGTTAAGAGAAGACGAAAAATCTTGCGTTCTAGGTAGAAAATGTATTTTAAGATAGTAGAGAGGCAGCCGTGGTTGTGGGGGTGCGTGGAGGGGTGAGCGGCGGTTAGTGAATGTACATCCCCCCC